TGAGGGACACGGAGAAGAGCCCAGAAAGAGGAGTGGGGACTTTGTGTGCCGCCTGCCCAGGCCGCGCAGAATCCACAGAGAAGCTGATGGAGGCGAGCTGTTGAGTAAGGCAGCAGGTGCACTGCTTAGAAAAAGAAAAAAAAAACTGTTCTTAGTTCCCCTCAGATACTTGGACGCCTTATTCTTAATTGGAGGGGTTGCCTGTAAATTCTCCTGCCCTTCCTTGAACTTGGGGCACACTTCTGTGATCTCTTACCCACCCCAGTGTTCACTGTGCTTCAGCCACCTTCTCGGGGGCCTGAGAGACATTTTCCAGGAAGGAAGGACAAGGGAACTCCTTGGTGCTAGAACCACACTGATGAGCATACGCAGGGAACTAAGCGTTATCTTTGCTTTTAGAAAAGCCAGCAGACCAGCATGCTTTGAAGACCAGGCTGTAAGTTTGCCAGTTGATTTATTTTTTTAAAAGACTTACTTATTTGAAAGGCAGAGTTACAGAGAGGCAGAGATGGAGCGAGAGGTCTTCCATCTGCTGGTTCACCCACCAGATGACTGCAATGACTGGAGCTGTGCTGATCTGAAACCAGGAGCTTCTTCCAGGTATCCCATGTGGGTGCAGGAGCCCAAGGACTAGGGCCATCTTTTACTGCTTTCCCAGGCCATAGCAGAGAGCTGGATCGGAAGTGGAGCAGTCAGGACTCGAACCGGTGCCCGTATGGGATGCCGGCACTGCAGGCGGCAGCTTTACCCGCTACACCACAGCACTGGCCCCTAGTTTGCAAGTTTAAATATACTGGACATGGGCAACTCTCAGGAGGACTAGGGATCATCTTGATGGGTCTTACTTCCTTTTTTTTTTTTTCTTCCAAGTTTAGTTTATCTGTTTGAGAGGCAGAGTGACAGGGATTGATTTTCGAATGGATGGTTCACTCCCCAGATGGCCACAGTGGCAGGGGTGGGGCCAGGCTAGAGCCAGGAGCTACATCTAAGTCTTCCCACATGGGTGACAGGGGCCCAAATACTCGAGCTATCATCTCTGCCTCCCAGGGTGCACCAGCAGAAAGCTGGACTGGAAGCAGAGTAGCTGGGGGACTCGAACCAGCGCTCTGATACGAGGCGCTAGAGTCGCAGATGGCAGCTTCCCTTGCTGTGCCGCGGCGCTGGCCCCTTGCCTTGCATCCGTACAGCGTGTGAACTTCGAGTGTTCCCAGTGCTTGCGTACGCTCTCCTGGCACCTCTCGGAGGAAGCGCGGTCCCTTTGGTAGCATAGTCTGCATCACGTCAGGTAGTTACGGAGCTGCCGCTTTGGCCTGTCACCTGTGGAACTTGTGTCATTTCTCTGTGCGCCTGAAGACCCTGCTGGGCACGTGTGTGTCCTCTGGGTGAACAGAGTGGTAAATTCCACGGCTGTCCCACCTCTGGACGACACCTGCTCCTTGGGAAGCAGTTGTGCGATGGCTGGCGGTAAGACGTTGTGCAGGGCCGACACTGCGGCACAGTGGGCCAAGCCTCCACCTGCGGTGCCGGCATCCCATATGTGGTTCGTGTCCCAGCTGCTCTTCGGAAAGCAGCAGAAGATGCCCAAGTGTCTGGGCCCCTGCACCCACGTGGGAGACCCAGAAGAAGCTCCTGGCTTTGGATCAGCACAGCTCCAGCCATTGAGGCCATTTGTGGAGTGAACCAATGGATGGAAGACCTCTCTCTCCCCTTCTTTGTCTGATACCCTGCCTTTCAAATACATGAAATAAATCTAAAACAAAAAATGACATTGTGCAGAGGGGCATCGGTAGGGAAGCCCAGCCTGGTGAGGTTGCGGTAGGCTGCTAGCCCGGGACCTTGGCCTCTGGAAAGCTCAACTGGGCCGTGTGTGGGTTCTGGAGTTCAGAACTGATCATATTGCATTGATGCAACATTTGAAAAGTTGTGTTCTCAAAAGGAAACAGCTCAAGTTGTAAAACCAGTGTGTGGTTGGTAAGGTTTGCCTACCGTCTGTTCCTTGGGAAACGCGTGTTGAAATCGGGTTGCTGTTGGGCCATGGGGCCTTTGAGAGGCGGTTGGGCTGCTGAGAGAGGTTAAGGCCTCTGTGGAGGAGCGAGTTCCTTCTCCTGGGCCGACCGCAGGTTGTTGGGTTGCTTGCCCTGCCCACTGCTAACGTTTAAGGTAAAGTCTTGGTATACATCACGTTCTGCAATTTGGAAGTCGCTCATACGAACGGAATCTCCCTGTAGGAATCCCCCTTTTCTCTTTTAGTTGGATGTGGACATCATTTTGAGTTCATGGGGATCCCTTGATCAAACAAATGTCAGGTATCTGTAGCTATCAAAATGACACACACAGGTCTCATCCAGGGTTACAAAGCTAAAAAAGCCAAGAGTTCATGTTCCTGGCTTTGAGCAAAGTGCTAATTCTATTAGATAAATATGAAGAACTCTGATGTACCAAGGGGAAATTTTTCTCTCTGTTAGAATTTTTTGATCCGACTTAAGTTCGTCAGTATTTTCAAATACTGGGATTTGACTGCCTGCTTGGCTTACTGGGTTTTAGAGGTGAAAGTCAGGACATGTGCAGTCTACTGGGGGTTAGACGCATCTCTCTGTACCACCATTTTTCTATTGATTTTTTTTTTTTTTTTAAGAATTGTTATCTTGGATAGTGGGTAATGCCGCTGCCTGCAATGCCAGCATTCCATATGGGCGCTGGTTCGAGTCCCGGCTACTCCACTTCTGATCCAGCGCTCTCCTGTGGCCTGGGAAAGCAGTGGAAGAAGGCCAAAGTCCTTGGGCCCCTGCACCTGCATGGGAGACCTGAAAGAAGCTCCTGGCTCCTGGCTTCACATCAGCTCAACTCCAGCCATTGCAGCCATTTGGGGAGTGAACCAGCAGTTGGAAGACCTCTCTCTTCTTCTCAAATAAGTAACAATTTTAAAAAGAGATTTATCTTTGTATTTTAAAGATTTATTTGAGAGGCAGAGTTACAAAAAGGGGGAGAGACAGAGGGAGGTCTTCCATCTGCTGGTTCACTCCCCAAATGGCCACAATGGCCAGAGCTGGGCTGTTTCGAAGCCAGGAGCCAGGAGCTCCTTCCAGGTCTCCCACGTGGGTGCAGGAGCCCAAGGACTTGGGCCATCTTCTACTGCTATCCCAGGCCATTAGCAGGGAGCCGGGTCAGAAGGAGAGCAGCTGGTACACGAACTGGCGCCCACGTGGGATGCTGGCACCGCAGGCAGAGGATCAATCTACTATGCTACAGTCAGTGCTGACAGAGTGCTGCTGAGGGTCGCTCTAAAAATACTTCCCTTGGGTTCTTAAAAGAATTTTTTTGAAAAATCGTAGCTGATTATGAGTACTCATTAGACAGGCTGAGATTTGATTCCCATACAGTTGACTTCTAGAGTGCACTGTGGAATGGATTTGAGTGTATTCAGAATACTACAATTTCAGAGCATCTCATAACCCCCAAAAGAAACCTCACCCTTCACTCCCCATTTCTCTTCCCCCCAAATCCTGGACAAGCACTAATCCATTTTCTGTCTCCGCACATTTGCCTATTCTGGACGTCTTATGATAAATGGAATCAGGCAGAATAGTTTATGTGTCTCCACTTAGCATGTTTTCAGGATTCATCCATGTTGTAGGATGTTTTCATTTCTTATGGCTGAATAATAGACTATCATATGGCTATATACTGCAGTTTATTTTTTCATTTATCAGTTGTTATACATCTGGGTTGTTTGTCACCTCTGGTTATTATGAACAATGTTGCTATGAACATTTGTGTGCAAGGTTTTGAGTGGATCTTGAATATCCCTTATTTAAAGTGCTTGGGATTAGAAGTGTTTTGCATTTGAAATTTTTTAAACTTTATTGCTTGCCTTTCAAATACATTAAAATAGAGCATCAGAGATAGATCTTCGATATGCTGGTTTGCTCCCCGAATGCATCTCTTGGGGATGAGACCCAAGTCTAAACAAAAATTCTTTTGTTGCATAGACACCTTAATGCATGTAGCCTGAAGGCAGTTTTATGAAATATTTTAAATAATTTTGTGCATGAAAGTTGCATAGTGTGGAAGTTCTCACTTGTGTTACGTCTGTCAGTGCTCAGAAAGTTTTGGATTTGAAAGCATTTCAGGTAATGGATTTTTCAGATTGTGAATTCTCAAGATGTATACTCAGGAGTGGAGTTTCTGGGTGGATTGTCCATTTGTGACTTCTGGAGGCTCCGCCAGACTCTGTCCACGGTGACTGTGAAACTCCGACCAGGAGTGCGGAGTGTTCTGGTTTCCCGAGGTCCTTGCCAACACTGGTTATCCTCTTTCTGATACTTGGATTCTTAAGCAGTGCTTATGGTAATTCTCGGTGTCGCTCAAACCGTGGAGGAGCACTTACGCTCTGGTCCACACGTTCATCAATCGGGCCACATGTTTTGCCCACAGTACTTGCTCTGGAGGTGGGCCATGAAGTTGGACTGCATGCAGCTACCGCGCACAGGTTCTAGAGGTACACGCACCATTTGCATTTGCCTAAAGAAAGTGGCCAGAGGGCTGAAAAGTGTTTTCCCTGGGACCTGTGTTGCGGTGTAGCGGGTCAAGCCACTGCCTGCAACGCCAGTGTTCCATGTGAGTACTGGTTTGAGTCCCAGCTGCTCTACTCTGATCCAGCTCTCTGCTACTGGCCAGAGAAGGCAGTGGAGGATGGCCGAGTGGTTGGGCCTCTACTATCCATGTGAGAGACCTAGATGAAGTTCCTGGCTTCAGCCTGCCTCAGCCCTGGCTGTTGGAGCCATCTGGGGAGTGAACCAGCGGATGGAAGACCTCTCTTCCTCCCTCCTTTCCTCCCTCCTTCCTTCCCTCCCTCCCTCCTTCCCTCCCTCCCTCCTTCCCTCTTTCTCTGTAACTCTGGCTTTCAAATAAATAAATAAAAGCTCAGAGGGTTTTCCTTGGTCATCTTGCACATTCATCCACTGTTTTGCCCACTTGTTTTCTCTCCCCTCCTTCACTAGGGACCTGGAAGCCAGGGCACAGAACGAGTTCTTCCGGGCTTTCTTCCGGTTGCCGCGGAAGGAGAAGCTGCACTCGGTCATGGACTGTTCCCTGTGGACCCCGTTCAGTCGCTGCCACACCGCGGGGCGGATGTTCACCTCTGACAGTTACATCTGCTTCGCCAGCAGAGAGGACGGCTGCTGTAACTTGGTCCTCCCGCTCAGAGAGGTAGGTGCTGTGTCCACCCCTCCGCTGCCCTACTGCATGCTTTCCAAGGCAGCCTCTGGTTGTTTGAACCCATGTTTCAGTCCATTTTCTGTTGCTATAACACAATACCTGAGGCTGGGTACTTTGTACAGCAAAGAGGTCTATTTAGCTCAGTCTTGGAGGTTTGGGAACACAGTGCTGGCTTCCCCTTAGCTTTGGTAAATGCCCCAGGGTGGATGGATCACGATGGTGGGAGGGATCACTTAGCAAGACAGAAAGCTGGGGCCCACTCTTTATTATCACAAGGCCTCTCCAGAAACTAACTGGAGTCCTATGAAGATGAGGTTAATCCCTTCTGAGGGCAGGACTCCCAGTGACCCAAACACCTTCCACAGGGTCCCACCACCTAGTAACGGCACCACATTGGAGACCAAGCTTCCAAAACGTGAACCTTCGGATGACACGCTCAAACCACATCCAGACCATAGCAGCCTGTGGTGCTGACCGGGAAGGGGTGTTTGCACAGCATAGTATATTGCCTCCTGTAGATGGTCATCTCGATGGCTGGACTTTGTTGAGGGAAGAGTGACCTGAATGGTGTATTTGGCTGTCATTTTTAACTGCTGCTATGGTAACCTGAAATTTGCCTAGTGGTGATTGGTGACAGCAGGATGCTCTAACCTCTGTATTATTGATAAGGCTGTTATTAAAGTACATGCCTGGCAATTAAGGCTTTTCTTAAAGTTTCTCCCCTCTGACCCCTAAGAAAAAGAAAAGGCAACCTATAAAAGCGACATTTTTGAAAACAAATGGCAACTTGCTTGGCTTTTATGCTCCCATGGGATTTTAGTGAAAACTTAAAAATACTTCCTTTAATGTGGATCAGGTCCCTTTTTCTTGTAACACTTTGCAATTATTTTCTTGGAAATGGGGGCAAACTGAGTTTGTTTCAAGCCTGAGTTGCTCAGCCCTTCAGTTTCAGGGTATTGCTGCTGGATGTACTCGCAGCTCTTACACATCAAGGCTGCTGGTTTTTTTCTCTGGAAAAACTCAGAATTCTTCTATTGATATGATCTTCTATCTCCATGTCGTTATTCCACAGTAGAGGTTTTTGTTATATAGATATGATTACTGAAAAGTGAACCAAGAAATCCAGGTGCTACCAAATCAAAAAAGATTTGAAAGGCAGAGTGGGAGGGAGGAATGGATGGATGGAGAGGGAGAGAGAGATTGATTTTCTATCCACTGGGTCACTCCTCAAGTGGCTGCAACAGTCAGGTGTGGGCCAGGTCAAAGCCAGGAGCCAGGAGCTCCATCCTGGTCTCCCACGTGAGTGCCAGGGGCCTAAGCACTTGAGCCATCTTCTGTTGCCTTCCATGGCACATGGAGCTGGATCAGAACTGGACAGCTGAGACTTGAACCAGCATCGTGACATAGGATACTGGCATTGGAAACAGTGGCTTAGCCCACTATGCCACAATACTGTTCCCCACCATGTACTTTTAAAAAGGATTTTGGTAACATATATAACATAAAATGATCTTTTTTAAGAGATTTATTTATTTGAAAGGCAGAATTAGAGAAGCAGAGGCAGATAAAGAGATCTTCCATCTGCTCGTTTACTCCCTAAATGGCCACAATGGCTGAAGTCAGGAGCTTCTTCTGGGTCTTCGAAATGGGTTCAGGGGCCCAAGCACTCGGGCCATCTTCCACTGCTTTCCCAGGGGCATTATCAGGGAGCTGGATCAGAACTGGAGCAGCTGGAACTTGAAACAACACCCATATGGGATGCTAGCGCTGTAGGTGGCAGCTTTACTCACTACACCACAGTGCTGGCCCCTAAAATCATTTTAAATCATGATTAAGTGCACATATTCTTGTATCAATTCATTTCCAAACCTTTTTCATACTCTCAAATTGAAACTCTGCACCAATTAAGCAGTAACTCTTTCTTCCCTCTCTCCTCAAGCCACCAGAAAATTGTCATAGCGTGTGTCAGAATTTCCTCTTTAAAGACTGACTAATACTCCATGATCTTCGGCATAATAGAGTTTGCTTATCCATTCACCTGTTCCCGAGCCTCGGGTCACTTCCTTCTTGGGCCACGGTGACCCATGCTGCCTTGCACGCTTGCATATTTCAGTGGTTGAGTTGCGTCCTGCATCCTGGGATAGGCTCTTGAAGACGCAGTGGAGTGCCTGTCTCCCTTGGCTGTACGCTGCGTGTTGCCTTTTGCGGCAGGTAGTGAGCATCGAAAAGATGGAGGACACCAGTCTGCTGCCCAACCCCATCATTGTCAGCATCCGGAGCAAGATGGCCTTCCAGTTCATTGAGCTCAAGGACCGAGAGAGCTTGGTGGAGAGTCTGCTGGTGAGGCTGAGGCAGGTCCACGCCAACCGCCCTGCCCGTTACGACACCTCGGCCAGCGACGACATGGTAGGAGCCTTCCTGGCCGCGTCCCTTCCTCAACGCCAACGTCCCCTTTCTCTCACGGCTCCAGCAGTGGTGTCTGCAGGGGCGTGCAGGGAGGGATAGTTCACCTGGGGCCGAGAAGAGCGAGGTCGAGGCTGGTGGGCCCCGTGTCACTCTAGTGTTGTTGCCGATGCATCAAGTCGCCCTGAGCTGGTCTCGCACAGGTTAGACGGCTCGACAGGGAGTCCTTGCCCAGCTTGGAGGTGATGGTATCCTCTGCAGGCTAGAGGTGTTGATGGCACGCTTCTCTGTGTGCTACATTAGATGACACAGTCATCGCCACCACTGCTGCTGGGGTTGGAAGGGCAATACGTGTCACTGTCAGGGGACAGCTGTCACCTGAGACCGAGCACTCGCCATCATCGGGGCTGGGCCACTGCAGGAGCAGACCCAGGTCTGTGGAGGCCCCGTCTGGGTATCCTCACTCTCGATCTCTTTTCTTCATGCTAAGGATCCTGCTGGGTCTCACGTCTGTCCGTTCTCTCAAGGACCGGGAGGCTGTAGCGCTGGTGCACCTGAAGGCAGAAGGCAGGCTGAGCGTGATCCAGGCCGTGACTTCCTTCTCTCTCTCCTCTCGCTACGCAGACCTCACTGTTTTACTCGACCAACATGTGCAGTGACCACAAGTTTGGGGATGTGGAAGTGGCGGCGGCGCAGAATAACGAGCAGAATGACGAGGAGACGAGCCCGCCGCGGCACCCCGAGGCTCTGACCGCTGTCCTCCAGCAGTCGGGGGGTCAGAGCCCCGACTGCCACCTGGTGCGTGAGGCGGCCGCGCCCTGCCCTGTGGGCGCCAGCTCTGCGGGAGAGCATTGGGTCACAGGCTGCCTTCCTCCCTTTCTCTGCCCTCCCTGTCTGTCCTCCGCTGGCCCTCAGGCTGGCCGTGTTGCCTCTTGTGAGTTCCAGGTGCAGAGCAGGTCTCTATCCTGCCAGCTGGTGGCGATGGCACACACTCCCCCAGGATAGCTCGCGTTATACCAACAAAGGGTTATCTTTCTAGTTTTTGACCACAAATACGTCTGTTACATTGACCTCTAGAAGTCCTGTTTGTAGGGAGAATTGGATGCGCATGTCAGGTGCAGCCAGGCAGGTAAATGAGATAGTGTACTGGGCACTGGAGCCTCAGCTGGCGGAAGCTATGGTGCAACCCTGCGTAGCAGACAGTGGCCGTGAACGTGGCTACCCGGGCCCCAGCTTGGGTGCTTCGTGGCTCCTGGGTAATCACATATTGGCTTTCTTTTTCCCAAACTGAGCCTTCCTGAATCCTTTACATGTAGGTGGTCAGTAAACCCTAGCTGATGAAGCCCATGCGGACACTGAAAACACGTATTTACATCTTCCATTACTGCGCGGCAGAGACCGCTAAAGGCAAATATACATACGCTGTGTAAAAGGCACTAAACACTCATGCCCTCTGGGGGTACTTAGCTGTGCCAGTCTGGAGCCAGGAGCTTCCTCTGGGTCTCCCACACAGATGCAGTAGCCATCAAGTGGCCAAGCACTTGGGCCATCTTCTACTGCTTTCCCAGGCAGTAGCAGAGAGCTGGATGGGAAGAGGAGCAACCAGGACTTGAACCAGCGCCCGTATGGGATGGCAGTGCCAGAGGCGGAAGCTTAGCCCACTGTGCCACAGCGCCAGCCCCTCTTTAAAGCATTTTCAAAAGTCTTCTCTGTTCTGAGATGAATGTAATTTTCTTGTGAGGCGAGTCTGTTTTCTCTCTGGCTGCCAGGAAGCTCCCCGTGTTCTCCAAGCTGACCTGTGGTTGAGGGCTTTACCTAATGTCCCATCTCTCCCTGCCGTCTAAGACCCAGGCTCCTTCAGCGTTTGGCTGGACGTACTCCTGTCCGGCTTGCCAAGGAAATGGGGGTTTATCATTGTAAATGCTGCCCCCCCCCAACGCCCCCATTTGCAGCATCCCAGCCTGGAGGAGGCTGACGAATGCTTGCCGACGGGCGGCGGCGTCGCATCCACAGGGCGTGGGTGGGCTCCTGGTCCAAGAAAATGTTTGCACCTGCAGTCCAGGGAGCAGATTAAGATCAGCCTGTGGAACGACCACTTCGTGGAGTACGGCAGGACCGTGTGTATGTTTCGCACCGAGAAGATCCGGAAGCTCGTGGCCATGGGGATCCCCGAGTCGCTGCGTGGGCGGCTCTGGCTCCTTTTCTCAGGTAAATAGTTGCGGCGCCTTCCGGCCGCGTGCGATTCTGGGAGCGGGAGCGGGAACAGGGAGCGGAGCGTGTGCGTGCGAGTGTGTGTTCCGTGCAGGTGCGCTTGTCTGCCTGCCGCAGTGTGTGCGTGTGCTTCTGTGCAGGTGCGCTCGTCTGCCTGCCGGAGCGTGTGTGTGTGTGCGCGTGCGTGCTGTGCAGGTGCGCTCGTCTGCCTGCCGGAGCGCGCGTGCACGCGTGTGTGTGTGCGTGTACGTGCCGGAACAGGCCCCCAGCGGAGTGTGCCCACGCGTGCACGTGTGGGAACAGTGTGTGTGCAGGTGCGCTCGTCGGCCTGCCGGTGGATCCCTACTGGGCGCCCCCAGCCATGGCTCTGGGACTCCGCAGAGGGTAGTTTGTCTTGGTCCCTCCACCCGGGACACAGGTGGCATCCATGTCTTGTTCCCAGCTGGGCAAAGGAGACTGGGCCCGCCAGTCCCTCATCCCTGACCACTCGCTCTCCATCCTGCTGGCCACTCCCCTGCAGTTATCCCTCTCCCTCCTCTGCCCTGTCTTCTTCCCAAATAACCCCGCCCTCCCCTCACTGCTGTCCAGGATTCCCAGACCAGATCGCAGGCTTTTTGGGGGTGTGGCTGGTGTCCAGTTGCTGCTTCCTGTACCGTGACTCATCTTATGCCCTGGGCTCAGTTGCCTCCCCCACTGCCTCCCACCTTGATGTAGCTGTCCCCCAAAGACACGTCCCGGAAATGCTTCCTGTTTACACTTACAGTTGATTTAACATACAGAACTGTGAACAAAGACAGTAAAATAACTCACAGTTCCCATGGCCTGAAGGTGATGCCTGAAACTGGAGGTCTGTGCTGGTCTAGGTCTCTCCAATCTATGTGGATGCACCCGTACTCTTTTAAAGATTTATTTAGGGGCCGGCACTGTGGCGTAGCGGGTGAAGTCTCCACTTGGGAGACATGGAAGAAGCTCCTAGCTTCGGATTGGCGCAGCTTCTGTCTCCCTCTGCCCCCCCTCTTAAAAAAAGAAATGGTTTATTTAAAGGTCAGAGTAGCAGAGACAGAGGTCTTCCATCCACTGGTTCATTGCCCATTTGGCTGCAACAGCCAGGGCTGTGCTAGGCTGAAGCCAGGAGCTTTATCCGGGTTTCCTATGCTGGTGCAGAGGCCCAAAGACTGGGCCATCTTCCACTGCTTTCCTAGGCACATTAGCAGGGAGGTGGATTGGAAATGGAACAGCCGGGACTTGAACCAGTGCCCACATGGGATGCTGGCACTGCAGGCGGTGGCTTTTACCCACTATGCCACAGCACCAGCCCTATTTTGTAATTTTTTACTTGAAAGGCAGACAGAGGTCTTCATCCCCTGGCTCACTCCTCAAATGCCCACGACAGCCAGGGCTGAGTCAGGCTGAAGCTAGGAGTCTGGAACTCCATCCAGGTCTCCCACATGGGTGTTGGGGACCTGCGTGCTGGGGCCGTCGCCTGCTGCCCTCCAAGGGCGCACATTAGCAGGAAAGGAATTGGAAGCAGAGCTGGGACTTGAACCCAAGTACTGCGTTATGGGATCTGGAGTCTCGAGTGGCATCTCGGCTTCTCCGCCAAGCGCCCACCCCTTCCCTCTGCGAGACAGACGTGAAACCCCTTTGGTCCTATGTGGTGTCACAGTATTTCCTGTCCCTCGGTGAGCAGTGAGACACTGCCTGGAGTGAAGCTGTCCTGGCGATCACTCGCTTGACCCCTTGTCCTTGGCACCCCCAGATGCCGTGACGGATCTCGCGCTGCACCCCGGCTACTATGGGAGCCTGGTGGAGGAGTCCCTGGGGCGGGGCTGCCTGGTGAGCGAGGAGATAGAGCGGGACCTGCACCGCTCGCTGCCGCAGCACCCTGCCTTCCAGAGCGAGACAGGGATAGCCGCGCTGAGGAGGGTCCTGACAGCCTATGCCCACCGGAACCCCAAGATCGGATACTGCCAGGTGACGTGTGTACAGCGGCGCGGAAGCCCCTGGCTCTGAGGGCTGCCCTGAGAGAGTGCTGTGTCGGGGCGCTCTCCTGAAAGAATGCGCCTCGGAACCTCCACCTGGGGGACGAGTGGAGATGTGAGCGTTTACCTGGTACCTGAGGGGCGGGAGACGCACACCTGCAGAGCCACCAAGGGCAGCAGGCCAGAGCCCGCGTTCCCTGCCCAGCCAGAGCCGGGCCTGGGATAGGTGTGGCTTCCAGAGCTTGAGAACAGAGGTGACCAGGGCAGGTCACCTCCCTCGGGAAGCACCTGGGGAGGAGAGACACTCTCTGAGCTAAAGGATGTAGGTAGCCAAGCACAGGGTAAAACAGCAAGTGAAAACCTCAGCTGTAAAAAACAAAAAACAACAACAACCTGGGACTTGGTAGAGAGCTCCTGATGGCTACAATGTAAGAATTCAAGCTTGAGTGTACCTGCTGTGAGCCAGCCAACGGGTAGAGATGTGTGCGTGTGCATGTGTGTGACCAAGCGTACCCCAGCCTCAGGTGCACAGTGTAGCTGCATCTACCAGTCGTAGATGGTGGCAGCTGGTGGCTCAGCCCAGGTTGTAGTGGGAGCACCAGGGTGGTGCCATGGTCGTCCTGCTTGGCGGGCGTGGCTGCGCCTCTCGCCAGCCCCATCTTGTGTACATGGTGCCCCACCACCCCGTCGGTCACTGTGCCTCCTCTCTGTCCCACCCTGGGCAGTCCATGAACATCCTGACCTCCGTGCTGCTGCTCTACGCCAAGGAGGAGGAGGCCTTCTGGCTGCTGGTGGCCGTGTGCGAGCGGATGCTGCCCGACTACTTCAACCACCGCGTGATCGGTGAGCCCGCCCCTCCCTGGGCGGCATCGCTGTGGGTGGTGACAGAGCCTCAGCCACACGGCTGTCAGTCCTGTCGGTAAAATCCCCCGCCCTGGGCCCCTGGGCTGTCTGCACAAACACACTTTGCCCTTGAACTTGTCCAGTGTCCCCAGGACATTCCCGGCGCACTTTGGTGCTGCCTGGTCTCTGGCTAACCCTGAGGCTGTGGGGCTCCTGTTCTCCACGTTCCTGCGATTTGCAGTCTCTCTCTGTGCTCCACCAGCCTCCTGGGGAGAAAATAATGGAAGGGTTGGCGATGCTCTTAGGGGTGCTGTTGGGAAATTCAGATGAGAAATGGAGGCGGCAGGCACGGAAGAGAATCGATTTGGGACGGTGTTCAGCAGCCAACTTGGAAGTCGGGAGTTAGGTGGGAAGTAAGAGCTTTGGAAGATGGTGTCCTGAGAACTGAAGGAGATGGTGAATGCGAGAGAGCGAGCGAGAGAGCGAGAGAGCAAGCTGTTTCCTGGAGCGGTGTAGCGCATCCCTGCCGCTCCCGCCAGCAGTGTCTGACACTGCCGGCTGCTCTATGTCCTGGCTAACGCTTGGCCTGTCTGTTTTAACTGGAGCTGTTCTTGTGCATTACAAGTGTTCTGTGTCCTGGTGGGTTTCTACAGTCAAGCACTGGAGACACACGAGAGCTCCCATCTGCTTATTCACTTCCCAGATACCTGCCCTGGCCAGGGCTGCTCCAGGCTGAAGCCGGGAGCCAGAAACTCAATTCGGGTCTCCGTTGTGGGTGGTAGAGACCCAGCTCACCCCGCCACACCAGCGCGGGTGTGGGTCCTTTCCTGCCCTCAGCTCTTGGGCACCCCAGGGTGGACGGATCTCGGGCTCTCCCTAGAGACCACGGGGCCCTCCCCACCCTGAGCTCCGTGGCCTCCCTCTTGCAGGGGCGCAGGTGGACCAGTCTGTCTTCGAGGAGCTCATCAGGCAGCACCTCCCGGAGCTGGCGGAGCACATGCAGGACGTCTCGGCCCTGGCGTCCGTCTCCCTCTCCTGGTTCCTGACTCTGTTCCTCAGCATCATGCCCCTGGAGAGCGCCGTGAACGTCGTCGACTGCTTCTTCTACGACGGCATCAAAGCCATCTTCCAGCTGGGGCTGGCCGTGCTCGAAGCCAACGCCGAGGAGCTGTGCAGCAGCAGGGACGACGGCCAGGCCTTGATGGTCCTCAGCAGGTGCGCTCCAGCCTCCACCCTCCCCCCCCCCCCGCTCCCATGGCTACTGGGGCAGGGGGTGCGCGGCAGCTGGGGCCTGGGGAGACCGCGGGAGGGGGCAGCAGCAGGTGCCGTCGCCGTGGAAGCTTTCCGTGCTGCTCTGCTCCAAGCCACCCTGTGGCTTCCCCGGAGCCTGTGGCACTGTCACCGGTGGCACCTTCCTGCGCCCATCTCTACCGAGTAACAATCCAGGAAGACAAGGACGGCAGGCGCTTTAAGAAGAGTGAAGTGGGCCGGTGCCGCGGCTCACTAGGCTAATCCTCCGCCTAGCGGCGCCGGCACACCGGGTTCTAGTCCCGGTCAGGGCGCTGGATTCTGTCCCGGTTGCCCCTCTTCCAGGCCAGCTCTCTGCTGTGGCCAGGGAGTGCAGTGGAGGATGGCCCAGGTGCTTGGGCCCTGCACCCCATGGGAGACCAGGAAAAGCACCTGGCTCCTGGCTCCTGCCATCGGATCAGCGCGGTGCGCCGGCCGGCCGCAGCGCACCAGCCGTGGCGGCCATTGGAGGGTGAACCAACGGCAAAGGAAGACCTTTCTCTCTGTCTCTCTCACTGTCCACTCTGCCCGTCCAAAAAAAAAAAAAAGAAGAGTGAAGTGGCCTGAGTCTGTCTAGACTCACAGCGGCCTTGGCGGGGCTGGAAACCCCAGGACACGTGGGCGTCAGGAGGTTTCGGACCCCCGACGTTGGGAGGGGCCTGGGCTGCTGCCCTGCAGTGAAAGGAACGTGGTGGTGGGATGAACCCTAGAACTTGGCTCTTGGGCAGGCAGGGGCAAGTCCAATGACACTAAAGAGGCGGCTGCCTTGGAGAATATTGTGGAAGCTTCAAATGAGATGCGCAGAAGTTTGCATTCTCTTCATTGGAACCTCAGGCCCCAAAAAGCTGCCGGGAGAGCCCGGCTGGCCAGGCCTGGCCTTATGGTGTCTCCCCTTTACTCCTTGCCTCCTTCCCAGGTGCTGGTGTTTACAACAAGCCAGCACACCGGGTGCCCCAGTGCCACGGGCGCTGGGTGGTGCCCAGTTGAGGGTTGGCCTAGACTTTTTTTTTTTTTTTTAAGATTTACTTATTTATTTGGAAGGCACAGCTACAGAGAGGCAAAGATAGAGAGGTCTTCCATCCATTGGTTCACACCCCAGATGGCCATAGTGGCCAGAGCTGCACCGATCTGGAGCTAGGAGCTTCCTCCAGGTCTCCCATGCAGCTGCAGGGGCCCAAGGACTTGGGCCATCTTCCACTGTTTTCCCAGGCCACAGCAGAGAGCTGGATCGGAAGTGGAGCAGCCGGGACTCGAACCGGCACCCATATGGGATGCTGGCTCTCTAGGCGGTAGCTTTACCCACTACAGCACAGCACTGGCCCCTCGGCCTGGGCTTTTAACCGGGGGCTATGCTCAGGTTTCTAGATCACGTCAAGAATGAGGACAGCCCCGGAGCCCCGGCTGGCAGCCACCACGCCTTTTTCTCTGATGACCAGGAGCCCTACCCCGTAACTGACATTGCCGACCTCCTCCGGGACTCCTATGAGGTAACCGACCTCCCGGGAAGTGCGGCTGGGGGGTGGGCAAGGAGAGAGGACCCCCGCTTCACTGAGCCGTCCCGTGTCTCCCTGCAGAAGTTTGGAGACCAGTCCGTGGGGCAGATCGAGCACCTGCGGTGCAAGCACAGGATCAGGGTCCTGCAAGGCCACGAGGACACCACGAAGCAGAACGTGGTGAGCGGGGCTGCCCCGGGACTTGGGACGTGGGAGTGCCAGGCTTTCTTTTTTGGTTCTTATTTCTTTGGGCACTGGATTAACGTCATAAAAGGTGACTTCCTGCAGAAATGGGCACGGACGGGATTTTGGAGTTGGACTGTGAGCCTCCCTGGTTGTAAAATTGGGCTGTTCTCGGCCACCATATAGGATTGAGACGAGGGTGTGCAGTGCCTGGTGCGGGTGGCCCGCAGCTGCCTGGGCTCTGTCTCTGCCAGCCTCGTGGCTCCCGTTGGAGCTTCCGTGTTTGTTCGCGGGAGGTGACTTGGAAAGAGGGGAGGAGAGACACCTGAGAAAGGTGCCGGTGCCGTGGAGCATCTTGGTGTCTGAAAGGAACGGGAGCCATTGCTAAAGGGAAGCCAGCCTGGGCCTCTCCTCCTGTCCCCCACTAGGAGGGGAGCCTCCCCCCACCCCTGACCCCCCAAGTGTGCAGCCTTAGAGTCGCTCCCTCACTGTTTCTGCTCTGCTTAAGCTCCGCGTTGTCATCCCAGAAGTCTCGATTCTTCCCGAAGACCTAGAGCAGCTCTATGACTTATTCAAGGTGAGTGGCTCTGGGAAGGAGAGGGAGTTCCAGGCCCATGTCTATTCTACTGCAGCAGGGGCTGGGGTGCCCCACCTGCTGCTCTGGTATCCTCGCTGACTTGTTTCCCCCCAGAAGCATCTCCCCTCCATCCCATCAGAGCTCTGGGATGGTGGTGGTCTTCCCCGGAAGCCAGCTCCCAGGGTAGCTTCCGGGAGGGAGGGCCCAGGTGCTACCCCTGCCGCCCCGGCACTGCAGGAGCCGCACTGGGGTGAGGGCTTTGGCGCTGGGATCCGTTCTTGCCTGTTGTGCTCGGCCCTGATAAGCAAGGCTCGGTTCCTAGTCCAGAGTGGGTGAAGCACTGGTGCTTGTTGGAATCCACATCTGATGTGCTTTTTAATTAATTGTGATCCCACCTGACAATAGCGATCTACAGAGACTGATGCTTGTTTGGCCTGGTTTCCCTTGGTGTAACTATTGTCAACATTTTGACATGTTACCACACGGTCTTAACTATTTTTGAATGGCATTATAATCTTATCAGTAATGTTTCATGTAGTACTAGATTTCTAATATTGAGATATTTAGGTGAAGTCCTATGTTTTGTAACTTAAATCACCCTGCAAATTATGTCATCAGGCACCTTGCTAGAAATTGTCTTGCCTGAAACAGTAAATGAAAATGAGAGAGGAAGAGAGACCCAGGGATGCATCCTTGCTACCCTGGCAGAGGGAGAGTTAGTGAGTTCCTGGCAGTTCTCATTGCTAACGAGCAGGATGTGTGGTGAGAACCAGCAGCTCCCCCACCACCGCCCCGTCTCGTAAGCACCTCCTGTTTGCCAGCTTGATGGCTTCCTTTGTGGCACGAAGGCAAAGTACAAGGGCAAAGGTTGCCTGGTGTCCAAACCCCATGACCTCTCCTGGGCTTTCAAGGAGGAAAAACAGGGGATGTCAGAAACATGAAGTTGGCTCAAGTTGTTTTTTTTTTTTTTTTCCATAGAAGCTGAAAAAGACTTTTGTTTGTCTTAGGGGTAACTTCTGAATTGGAGAGAATGGGAGACAACACAAACCTGAACTGATGTGATTGAGAGGATGACTTAAATAAAAATTGCATTATGCACCGCCCACGTTGTTTATCTTTGCTAGGAAAGAGCATTGAGAAGCCTGCTTGTCTTTCCCGTTAGAGATGAGGGTTGTGGCTGGTGCTTAGTGAAATCTGTTTTCGTCCTTGTCATTGCCCCTATAAGTTTCTCCTTTATGTAGGGCTAACTACAAGTAGAAACTAAAAACCTATAAAAGTATGAGCTAATCTCCAAAATGCACTTCCAAGTCAAAACTGCACCCTGGGCCGGCGCTGCAGCTCACTAGGCTAATCCTCCGCCTGCGGTGCTGGTACCCCAGGTTCTAGTCCCAGTTGGGGCGCCGGATTCTGTCCTGGTTTCCCCTCTTCCAGTCCAGCTCTCTGCTGTGGCCCGGGAGTGCAGTGGAGGATGGCCCAAGTACTTGGGCCCTGCACCTGCATGGGAGACCAGGAGGAAGCACCTGACTCCTGGCTTCAGATCAGTGCAGTGCTGGCCGTAGCGGCCATTTGGGGGGTGAACCAACGGAAGGAAGACCTTTCTCTCTGTCTCTCTGTCTCTCTCTCTCAATGTCTAACTCTGCCTGTAAAAAAACAAAAACAAAAACCAAAAACCAAAAAACACCCTGACCAAGGTGTCTGGTTCCCTCCTATGACCTGAGACATCCCCATGAGGATCCTCCTGCCCCTGACCTCCCTGTGGGCCCAGGGTTGGCCTCATGCCCCACCCGACATCCCTTTCAGAGCCTTCTTCCTCCCCCTAGCCCCCGACCTGCCATGAGTTTGCAGGGCTTTGATAGTTCGAGTTCGCATGTGGTGATAGGGGAGAACTTGCCTAAGTCCTATGGGGTATAACGTGCTGTAGTTAAATTCTGCACGCACCTCTCATCTCTGCAGTTGGAATTCCATCTTCTCGAGAGAAAGGCCCTCACGGGAATAACCCTTGCACTGCTTCATAAAAGCCTGCCAGGCTCTGCCCAGCCCGACGCGCCCGGGCACAACCTCTCTGTATAGCAACAAGCGACCATTGGCTCAGACGCGACTCCTGTAGAAGTCCTTTGGTTGAGAGCCAGCCTTAGTTCTCATGAATGCAGAGTTGGGATGTCTCCTTTTCTCTCACTTTGAGAGAAATGGCCTCACTAGTCACACCCAAGTGGGACGTGAAGGAAGTCAATAGAGACCCGGAGTCGTAAGCCACTCGTGGAGATGGTCAGGGCCCTAAACAACATCTATGTGTTCCCTCGGTAGCCATCAGCTGAACACATCCACCATTGCTGGGTCGTTGTGCCCTACGGGTCATCTGGTTTCTTTAATGTCATTTGGCTATCTCCTGTGTTTTGAGGAAGACTTTGGTTTACAAAGTCTAATTGAAACACAGAATGATACCTACTGTCACCATTAAAGAGGACTTCTCAGCAGGAAATGAAAGGGCCGCGCCTTGGTTCCGCCATGATGTAGTCTTGAGCAGGTCATGACTAAGAGTGTGGTGCGTATCTAACCTGCTGGCTGTGTATTTCTGTAGCTCCACACGTGCACTAAGTGCACACACATGTGGACGCGTGACCGTACCCTACACAGCGGCCTGCTGTTGTTTCTCAGATGCCGTACGTTGTACACTTCTTCCTAGATGAGTATCTACAGATCTTTCTGTAATGAACGCACACTTCCATTGCAGGGCTGAACCACGGCTGACTGAACCATTCCCCTACTGAGGGACGTTTGTGTCTCATTTTGCCATTTCATTTTTAAAATTTATTTCTTTATTTGAAAGAGTGACAGAAGGAGAAATAGAGGTTTTCCACCTTGCTGGTTCCATTCCCCAAATGGCCACAGCAGCCAGGGCCGGGTCTGGCTGAAGCCAGGAGCCAGGAACTTCAACGGGTAATGGGAACTCAAGTCCTTGAGCCATTGCTGGACTCGAACCCAGCACTCTGGATATGGGATGCCGGCTTCCCTAATGGCAGTGGCTTAACCAGCTGCACCGCAGTGCCCGCCCTAGTTTTTGCTATTTTATAAGTACCTCTTGTATTTATCGGGTCGCCAGTGCTGCTGTTCCTGTAGAATGGGCCCCTTGAAGGTGGAGCTGCTGGGACGTGGGGTGGTACAACACACATTTCTGCACTGCTGAAATATTTGACTTTTCAAACGACAGCTTTACTGAGATGATGCCTAAGAGGGCTCATCTCCACACATGCCATTCCCACCCAGCATTTGATAATTGTGGGTCTTTAAAATCTGGCAGGAAATTAGGTTCATTTGAACTTCAACTTATTTACTCATTAATGAGGTTGAGTGCCGTTTCCTAAATTTATACTTCTTTAGATCACCTGTTGATGTCATTGACTGTTTTTATATGGGTTTGTCTTCCTGAGGGGTTCTGTGTGGATTAGTTGTGTACTATCCTTGGCTATTACTTGATAACCGTTTTCTTTGTTCAGCACTGTAGCGGCCTCTAGTGTGATTATACACACATGCACATGGAAATTGACTGTGACTTTTTTTTAAAAAAAAGATTTAATTATTTGAAAGTCAGAGTTACACAGAGAGAAAGAGAGGCAGGGAGAGAGAGTGAGAGAGAGAGGTCTTCCATCTGCTGGTTCGCTTCCCAGTTGGCCACAACGGCCTGAACTGCACCGATCCGAAGCCAGGAGCTTCTTCTGGGTCTCCCATGTGGGACTTGGGCCATCTTCCACTGTTTTCCAGGCCATAGCAGAGAACTGGATCGGAAATGGAGCAGCTGGGACTTGAATTGGCGCCCATATGGGATGCTGGCACTGCAGGCGGCAGCTTTACCCACTGTGCCACAGTGCCGGCCCCAGCTTGGTTTTTTAGAAATGAGAATTTGTCTGACCTTTGCTTTACACACAAAAGTTTTTGTGTTACTTTTTATGATTCTGTAGTGACTATTTAAAGAATGTGGCTGCAGTGACTACGATAGTAAAATCATAAGTGGCCATTTTAGCTTGCATGCTATAGTATCCGCACTTGTTTCTGTCCCAGCCTTGGAGACAGAGGAGGACATTAAAATTGTAAAGAACCCTGCACTCATTGATAACCACTGTGGGCCTTTGTGAACTGAGACGTCCAAAGAGAAGATTTTGTATGATATCAGTGATGCACTCTGAAGAGGCCACCCTGTCCGTTAGGGTGCCACCGGTGCTGTAGCTTTCATCCTGTTCCCAAGACTTCAATGTGCCTTTATTCTCCTGATTTTTGAAATTATTCATGTACTAAGGTTTCAACTGTCTAAAGCACAAAATGCAGTAAAACATCTCGCTCCAACTTTGGGTCCCCTGCCACCTGTTTCTCTCCCTACAGGTGAGCAGTGTCATGGGCACCTTCTGTGTCCTGCCAACTTGTCCTTTCTGTTTTAAACAATACGATTTTAAGTGCAAGTATATCTGAGTAAAAACAGTATTTTACTGCAATAAGAAAACAAAACCTTAATTAGACAAAAAATGTCAAAGCCCACGGTAGGGAGCCAAGGGGACACTTCTATGTGTCTGGCGACAGTGGTGAGACCATGAGTCAGCTAACACTTACCTGTTTGTGTCACAAGACAGCTTATTCAATAAGCAGGGATCTGTGAGCTAAGCAGCCCAGGAGAGGGGGCCATGCTGGCCTGGGCTGCGGACCCCCAGGCACCGCCGTCTCACGCCTCTCTCCCTGTCTTGTGTTAAGAGAGAACACATGATGAGGTGTTACTGGGAGCAGCCGAGGCCCGTGGCCCTGCGCCATGACCCCAGCAGGCCCTACGTGGAACAGTACCGCATCGACGCCCGGCAGTTTGCACACCTCTTCCAGCTGGTCTCACCGTGGACCTGCGGGGCCCACACGGAGATCCTCGCCGAAAGGACGTTCAGGCTGCTGGATGACAACGTGGACCAGCTCATCGAGTTCAAAGCGTTTGTGAGCTGTCTAGGTAGGACCATCGGCCTTCGTGGCAGTGACTTGATGTTGGGGGGTGACTGGACAGAAGGCAGAGGGGACCATGGGAGTGGGCACTCAGTGAAATGACCTTGCCACAGGCCTGACTTGATTCTGTTGTTTGTAGATTTTACTCTGCAAGCTCCTCTTGGGACCACTCCAATGCTGGCTCCAGTGCTTGGGAAGTGACCAGGCTGCCAATATACAAGGCCCTTGACTGGGTTCTTGACACCACCAAGGTGTGGCAATGGCTGGTTGGGAGCCACATCCCTAGTTTGGTGCCTAAAATTAAAATCTTGCCAAAAAGCTATGGGGCCAGACGGCATTCATGAGGTTACCTTGTGGCTCAGTCATCGGTCAACACCTTTATCGGTTTTCTTTTTTGCACGCTGCATGTCCGGGGTCGGGGGGTTGGGTGGGAAGTAGTGACAGCATAGAGTTCTGTGTCCCCCAGTGAGGGCACGTCATGACAAAGGGACCTGAGCCATGTGCGTCCACTCATGCTCTGTTTGTTTGTTTGCAGATGTTATGTATAACGGGGAAATGAATGAGAAAATTAAACTGTTGTATAGACTCCATATCCCTCCAGGTAAGAAGGTCCACCTAGAACCACCAGGCTGTGTGCTCTGCCTGACGCACACCACCTCTGTGCACAACACCGGCCTTCTTCTTCAGCTCCATTTGGACTGAGGCAGCAGGTGTCTGTGGTTGGGGGTTTCGGACGGCAGCTTCTCAGCAGGGTCCTGCTTGGCCGGGGGTAGGGATTCTTACATGTGGAGTCCCTCAGGTGCCCCAGAGGGCTTGTCACAGCAGGTTCCTGCTCGGATCGCTGGCTCGCTGGGTCTGGGGGCTGCAGTGAGTGACGCTGGCCTGGGGGACACGCGGGGGAGCCAGACACTGGTTACACAGGGCTAGCTACTTAGGGCTGGTATTTTAGAGGGGTCGCTTCTTTTTTTTTTTTTTTTTTTGTCAGCACATAAGACACGTCTTTCAGACTTAAGTGGTGGTAACTACAAACAAAGGAAGCTATTGTGAAAGCTGTGAAGTCAGGCTTGGCATGAGCAGGGACAAGAACAAGGAAGCCTTAATGTGTTCCTTGGATCTTTAGACTTGAGAGGAATCAGAAATCCCAGAGGCGTCCAGAGCCCTGGGCCGTGACACTGGGCTGGAGGACCTTGCTTGGGCCGTGACGCTAGGCTGGAGGAGGCCGCCAGGTTCAGGAGGTCCTGGTGGCTTTGACTCTTGTAGGCATCATAGAAGTGGAACAGGCACACGGGCATTGTTTGTGGGCTTCCTGGATGGGCACAGGACACCGTGGGTCTGTCATCCCCAGAGAACGTTCTGTCCTGGCCACACACGGCCCTCTCCTTGACCTACCCAAGGACCTGCCAGTGCTTTAGCACACACTGGCACCAGCGCCAGTCTCTGCCTTTTATGTGAATTCCTTATGAGTGGTATTTTTTTTTTTTAAAGTTGAACTTGTTCTCTTTTTCACAGATGTTTTACTACTAACATATAAGACTTGCATACATTGTTCCTTTATCCTCAGCATTAGCATTAAAAAGTGTACCTGGTATTCTAAAACACACGAATGATTTTTTGATTCTTAAACTTTTCTATAAAACTAAAATTGTTTTAAAATTAAAAGTTGCACAAGATGCTACCAATAGAATTTCTACCTAGACATACTTAAATTTCCTGTCTTGAATTATTTTAAACATTTTTCATCTGGCTTCAAGGTGAATTACTTATTTGTTTTTAAATTGCAGGCTTTTTTCTTAAAGATTTATTTATTTTGAAAGTCAGAATTAGAGTGGGAGAGACACAAAGATCGTCCATCCACTGGTTCACTCCCCAGATGGCTGCAATGGCCAGTGCTGGGCCAGGCGGCCAAGGTCAGGAGCTTAATCTGGGTCTCCCACATGGGTACAGGGGCCCAATCACTTGGGCCGTCTTCTGCTTTCCCAGGCCATTAGCAGGGAGCTGGATTGAAGTGGAGCAGCTGGGACACGAACCGGTAGCCACATGGGATGCCAGCGTCACAGGCGATGGCTTTGCTTGTTGCACCACAAAGCTGGCCCTGGCAGGTTTATTTCTATGAGCAATTTAATTGCATTCTGTGTATTAAAAGCATTTGTAGGCCTTCATGGATTCAGAAAATCAGTTTTTCAAAACCAAAAATGATTGTTGTGTACAACACAAAGTTTAGATTTTTAAGTAAAAACTAGATTTTATATGTTAATATTTGAATTTTTGATGCTGATAATCTAAAACCGCTATTGAAGAATATCAATTTCCTCAGGCCATGAAGACTCAGTCCATTTAATTTTAGTAAACATTTACTTTTTTAAAAAAATATTTTATTTTTTTTATTTGAAAGGCAGAGTTACAGAGAAGGAGAGGAAGAGAGAGAAAGAGAGGTCTTCCATCCACTGGTTCACTCCCCAAATAGCCTCAATGGCTGGAGCTGTGCTCATCAGAAGCCAGGAGCCAGGAGCTTCTTCCAGGTCTCCCACATGGTGCAGGGGCCCAAGGACTTGGACCATTTTCTACTGCTTTCCCAGGCCATTTCAAGAGAGCTGGATCGGAAGAGGAGCAGCCAGGACATGAACCTGTGCCCATATGGGATGCCGGCACTGACTGCAGGCAGCGGCTTTATTGCTACACCACAGGGCCAGCCCCAGTAAACATTTAGTTTTTTAAAAAAATTTATCTGAAAGGCAGGCCGGCGCCGCGGCTCACTAGGCTAATCCTCCGCCTTGCGGCGCCAGCACACCGGGTTCTAGTCCCGGTCAGGGTGCTGGATTCTGTCCCGGTTGCCCCTCTTCCAGGCCAGCTCTCTGCTGTGGCCAGGGAGTGCAGTGGAGGATGGCCCAAGTGCTTGGGCCCTGTACCCCATGGGAGACCAGGATAAGTACCTGGCTGGATCAGTGCGGTGCACTGGCCGCAGCACGCTGGCCGCGGCGGCCATTGGAGGGTGAACCAACGGCAAAAAGGAAGACCTTTTTCTCTCTCTCTCTCTCTCTCACTGTCCATTCTGCCTGTCAAAAAATAAATAAATAAAAATAAAAAAACTAAAAAATTTATCTGGAAGGCAGAGTTAAAGAGGGAGAGAGTGGAAGTGGAGCAGGTGATGGCTTTACCCACTATGCTACAGCACCAGCTCCAATATTCACTTTTCATAATAACTTTTAAAAGGTGTGACAGAGGCCAGTGTTGTGGCACAGTAAGTTAAGATGTGGCCGGCAACAGTGACATTCCATATAAACACTGGTTCAAGACTCAGCAGCTCCACTTCCCATCCTGCTCCCTGCTAATGTGACTGGGAAAGCAGCAGAGGATGACTCCAAAGGCTTGGGCCCCTGCACCTACGTGGGAGACCTGGAAAAAGCTCTTGGCTTCAGCCTGACCCACCCCTGGCCATTGTGGCCATTTGGGGAGTGAACCAGCAGATTGAAGATCTCTGTCTCCATTTCTCTCTAACTCTGCCTTTCCAATAAACAGATAAATCTTTAAAAAATAAAAATGGAAACAAAAGTCTGCTTGCCTACGGAGCCGGCATTGGGACCCAGTAGCACACGTGCACCTTGCCAGAAATGCCCACTGGAGCAGAGAGCTTGGCAGTCTGCCAGAGCGGTGTGGGCTACAAAGCTCCTTTGTGAGCTTGGTTACAGAGGTCTCTGAACCGGAGGCTTCGCACACAGTTCCAGGGGAGCTCGCTTCTCTGGCTCTGCGGGGAGTGCGACGCTGTCCAGCACAGGAGCCGGGAGTGAAACAGAATGTCACACCATGCCTGCTGACGGAGAAACGGTGTCTGGATGATGAAATCAAGAGTGTTGGGTGAGGCTGACAGATCTACAGATAGTAGTCGTTTTGCTCAGTTAATTATGCTGATTGACTTCTAGAACACAACTTCAGGAAGAGCATTTTTTTTTTCCCATCAGAACAGAATGATATTGGATATGGCCAGAGAACACACACACACACACTCTCACTCTCACACGGGATGGCCAGAGGCTGTGTGTGTGTGCATGTGTGTGTGTACTCCGCGGGGCTGTTGTGATGCCTCACGTCACCGTTCCTGCTGGAAATGCTGAGGGCCAGGGAATACGTGACGTACAGGCGTGCAGGGCAGCTCTCCAGAAAGGATCGCCTGCTGGTCTGGGTCCACTTGGAGTGGCGTTCTTCATGTTGAATCCCGTAAAACTGGAGCTGCTGCGGTGTCTTGTGAAGATGCATAGGCATAGGTTGCCTCCCGAGGCCTTAGTGTAACCCAGTGTACCTGCTGGGCCAAGGGTGTTGTCAAGAAGTTGAATTAAAAGGAAAGATCTCCTGCATGATTCCAGCCTGCAGTCTGATGAAGGATAATGACCGGCTTAAAAAGACTTAAAATGCCGAACCTGAATGAACATTGGCAGTTAGATTAATATATGATGAAGCATTCAAAGCAAAATTTCAGCTTGGGAAAAGAGGCTACAAGTGCTTCATTAATGATGTTTAGCCAGTGTTATGATTTGAGTCTTAGCATAATTACCGATGGCTACAGCAATGTCTGTGCGAATGAGGGGAAGCTTTGTTACTTGGAGATGGTCACTATGGGAAAGTGTTGCCTGGACGAACAGTGTTAGGTTTGTCCGTGAAGGACAGGGAGGAGCTTGTTGAAGTTGAGTGGGGGCGGGGAGCAGCTGAGCCATTCAGATGCTAGGCAGTGCCTGGAAAGGGCTGTCCATCAAGTGGAGGGGCACGCCTTTGGTTTCCATCTTCTTGTGCACACGTTTCCTCCCCAACAGTGACAGTCTCTTTCAAAGAACTAGCATTTAAAAGTCCAAAGCTTTGGATTATCTTGAGCTGAAAAGTGCCACTAAGGATTTTGAAAAATACGAAGTATAGAAGATAAACAGACTTAAAAAGTTGTCTGTGAAATTAAAAGAATGAACTTCATTTCAGTGAAAGGCTGAAGACGAACCCTGATATTATCCACATTGCCAAGAAGCCATAAAAAACTGGATCGCTGACCGGTGCCTCCAGCGGTGGTTCTGTCTCACATTTCTCATGGCAGATAGCCGAGAAGCAAGTCCCATGCCTCCCTTGGTTTTCCTATGAGTGACTTGGCTGCACCTGAACTCCTGATGAATCCAGATGCAAGTCCTTGCTGCTATGATCTGGTTGATCCTTATCACCGTGGAGGGCTGGGAAGAGGGCAGTGCATTGGTTTTGCAAGAGGTGAACATGGTGAATGGCATTTTGAGGACTGTAGAGTCTTCAATTGCATCTGAAGGCCAAAACGTTCAACACAGTGCCTGTATTTCTCTACTGGAGATAGGCACTTCCAGTGGACCTGGCTGCCTCCCTCCATAGGCATTGCGTTAAAGTGATGAAGATATGGGGTTGGCATTGTGGCATGGCAGGTAAAGCCGCTACCTATGATGACAGCGTCTTGTATGGGCACCGGTTCGAGTACCAGCTGCTCAGCTTCGGAGCTAGCTCCCTGCTTATGTGCCTGGGAAAGCAGCAGCAGATGGCCCAAGGACTTGGGTCCCTGCCACCCATGTGGGAGACCTCAGTGAAGCTCCTGGCTTTGGCCTGGCCCAGCCCTGGCGATTGTGGCCATCTGGGTAGTGAACCAGCAGGTGGAAGACCTCTGGATGTCTCTTTGTCCCTTCCCCTCTCTGATTTCAAGTAAAGTGATGAAGACAACAGAAGTAATGACGAACAGAAACGAAAACTCTGCATACTGACTCATGGTCTGTGGATCCACAGCAACTTAACCTGCTGGTGGGATCTGTTGAAGTGGTGACACTGAGCACCATGTCCTGAGATGGGGAGTTTGCAATAACCAGACGTAAAGGCTTTGTGCCGCACTTTGAGACACAATGGAGGCTTGAACAGAAAATGCCTCTGAATGCATTTACAGTCTCGAATCACGAACTGTATACACGAGAATGTAAAACTCAGGTCATTGTTGATAAATGTCTAGATTTCAAGAATATGTACAGATAGTATTTTAATGTAGTACTGCTTGCCCTGATGTATCCTGTGTTTTGATCGTAGGTGGGTAACCTTGTGAGTTCTTCCAATAAGTAGCAGCTCCTCCAGTGAGCAGTCACGCCGAGGTTGGGCAGCTCTGCTTGGGACTGGCTGGCTTTGCTGGCTCCATGCTGGACATGGTTCATACTTGGCCAACACCCACTCACTGTCTCATTGTTAGCCATGGCTGATCTACACCCCCATCAGATTTGTGGGTATCGGTTATGGGGGCGTTTTGTTGAGTGACTTGTGCACGCAGTTTCTGTGTTGGTGCACCATCCTGACTGCCCTGGGTGCCACTCAGGATTTGTAATTTTCCTCATCAGTAATTTCTCTAGTGGATTCTCATGTGTGCCACTGCATAAATTTGTTTTGGGTAGAGTTGGAGAAAAAGTGCTATTTTTGTTGCAGGGAAAAACCCTAAATATTAGAAGATGTGAACACCTCCTAAGCCCCTCATCCCCCAGCACTAAAACCTGTGAACCTAGGTCCCCAGGACAAAGTAGTTTAGCCAAGCTGGAGTGCCACCTTGTGGAAGCCTGATGAATCACAACTGAATTTTGCATTTGGTGTATTTTCAATGAATGGCGTATTCCTAACAATTTTTGGGGGCTATAATTCACAAACCATGTAAGTCACCCCTTTAAAATGCACTGGTCAGTGTTCCTTGTACCTTCAGAGTCATGTAGGCAGCACTGTGGATTTTATATTATTTAAAAGATTTATTTCAAAACTAGAATTACAGAGGGAGACTTTGTAGCTGCTGGTTCACTCCCCAGATGGCGGCCAACAGTCAGCTTCATCAGGGTCTCCATGTGGATGTCAGGGGCCCAAACACTTGGGCCGTCCTCCAGTGCTTTTCTCAACCATTAGGAGGGAGCTGGATTGGAAGTGGAGAAGACAGGACACCAACCAGCATCCACGGGACGGCAGCATTGCAGGCAGTGGCTTTACTGCCCCAACGCTGATGCCCCGGCCCAGGCCACCTGTCATTCTGGAGTCGATACCTATGTGCTGTTCTGTGTTTGACTTCATTCACCTAGCAGGTTTTCAGGATGTATCTGTGTGATAAGAAGCTTGCTTGCTTCCTTTTTATGGTTTACTATCCTGTTGGAGTGTGCCATAGCTTGTTCATCCACTGGGTTTGTTGGTTATTAGGAACAATGCTGTTAGGAATGTTTGGACAAGTTTTTCTGTGAACCCACGTGTATTTTTTCATGGTGTCCTTAAATTTTGAGAGACAAGAGCTCTCATCCACTGGTTCGCTCCCCAAATGCCAGCAAGGAATTGGGGAACTCAATCCAGGCATCCCACATGGGTGACAAGAACTCAATCACTTGGGGCCTAACCTGTTGCCTTCCAGGATCTGCATTAGTAAAAAGCTGGTGTCAGGAGTGGGTTATCAACTCCAGGTTCTGTGGTTTATGGGACATGGATTTCTTCATGGCTAGGCCAAATGCCTGTTGTGAACAGATTTTCTTGGGTAGACACCTACAGTGTGGGTTTTTATTTTTATTTTTTTAAATTTTTTTTAAGAGTTAGAGACAGATGAGACAGAGAGGTCTTCCATCCACTGGTTTACTACCCAAATGGCTGCAACAGCCGGAGCTAGGAGCTTCCTCCAGGTCTCCCACATGGGTGCAGGAGCCCAAGGACTTTCCTAGGCCACAGCAGAGAGCTGGATCGAAGTGGAGCAGTTGGGACTTGAACTGGCACCCATGTGGGATGCCGGCACTGCAGGCAGCAGCCCCTAGCATGGGATTTCTAGGTCAAATGGTAAACCTAGTATATGGCTTTTTGAGGAATTGCCAAATTGTTTGCAAAGCAGCTGAACAGTTTCACATTTCCACCAATGTATGAAGGTTCTGATAGTTCTTAGTAAGGTTCAAGAAATCTGTGATACTGCTTGGAATTCAATAAAGCTTTTCTCAAAAAAAAAAAAAAATTGCAAGTAAGAACTATGTTCTCAGTTTAGAAATAATTTGGAAAGTTGAAAATAATTGCCAATTCTGCCATTCAGAGTTAGTGTATTTATAGTTTGCTGTGTCAGTACAGTTAATTTTACAAAAGGAGACTTTGGCAGGTCCACAAGAGCGGAGTCCTTCCGCGGGTCTGTGTTGTGAACTAGGATGGGCTCGCATGCCTCTGGGGGAAGGCGGAGCTGAGGCCTTAGTTTTCCTGACTGCTTCTAGGCCCTGGGATGCTGTGGTGGCCTTCAGCTCTTTCCTGTCTGAAACGCTAGGCTCCTGTTAGTCTGGGTTAGAAAATTTGAATTTAAATCTGTCTGTTTTTAAGCACTCACTGAGAATGACCGAGACAGCCAGTCACCATTAAAGAACCCGCTGCTGTCAACATCGAGACCCCTGGTTTTTGGGAAATCCAATGGCAAGTACCACTTCTCCCTGCCGTCTCCTCCCGGGCATACCCCTGCAGTGGGGCAAAGGTTGCCCCCCACCCCACCCCCTGTCGTTGAGCCTGCTGCCTTGTGAACGTTCCAGGTGGGAGCGTGGTCAAGTACCTTCCTCTCGTAGGCCCCAGCCACTGCAGCCCACCCCGTGTCTCTCTGATGCATGGAATCCCCTCCCCTCCTCCTCCCTGCTTTCAGTGAACCTCAACAGACTCTTGTTTATCTTTGTCTCAAGGTGATGCAGCAGACTATCAGAAACAGCTGAAGCAGATGATTAAAGATTTAGCCAAAGAAAAGGATAAAACTGAGAAGGAGCTGCCCAAAATGAGCCAGGTATGGGCCTTCCTTCAGTGCGATTGGCTAATTCACCCCGAGCCGCTTGCCCTCCTAAGCCCGGACTCTGGGCCCCTTCACCACAACGCCATCCTGCAGCTGAGTACTTTGTGATAACCAACTGGGGGATATGTAACTCCATCAATTCAGATGATCCAGATACTCAAAGCCCTTGGCACCAGAAGGCTCTACCCACGCGGTATCCTTGAAGAGGTTTCATAGCAAGCTCATCCAGGTCCTCTGAGGGTGACAGGCACTTGGGGCCACTGTGGATTTAGTATCCTTGAGTGAGCGAACTCATCAGAGGTTCTGATGTCTCCAGAACCTCTGTGCCACCCAAGTGCCATCTGAATGGTGGTGTTTTGTTAATTTACAAAGGGTTCTTTTCAGTGTTTGAGAAAAGCACACTTTAAGTTACATACACTCCTTATATAGATCATTCTGGTGCTGTGCACTTTTGAGCCCTCAAGTGGAATTGAGCATATACTGTTGCCCATTCCTTTCACTGTTTTCAGATTCATCTACTTGAAAGGCAGAGTGACAGGCAGACACACAGATCACCCATCCGCTGGTTTACACCACAAATGGTTCCAACAGCCCAGGCAGGGTCAAGGTGAACCTAGAAGCCAGGAACCCTACTCAGGCCTCTCGCAAGGGTGGCAATGGGCCACCGTGACTGCCCATCAGGCACATGAGTAGGGTGCTGCGTCTGAAGCACAGCTGACCTTGAACTGGGGCTGATACTGAATGCACTCAAGTGGTAGCTTAACCTGGTGGGCAACACCAGCCCCACACCTTGAATGCAAAACATCTCTCCTATGGGAGGTAGTATTTCATTCTACAGTTGAGAAATGCTTTCAGATTTTCATTCTGTTAAGAATGTGATAAAGTTGGCCAAATTTCATCACCTAGATGGAAATTTTTTTTTATGGTTTCAAGTTTGAAGTCGGGGAATGTTCCTCTCCAGTTCTGACTTTGGGGCAATGTTGACAGGTCACTGACGAATGCCTGGCCTTTAGGTGTGTACTGTGCTTCATCATCTCATGCCACTGCCTGGACTCAAATTCCTTATTAACTTGTTAAACACTGCTGCGACACCCCGTTCCTCTGCACACAGCCTGCACTCAGCCCTGGCGCCCTCACTCGGAGAAGCCTGTGTAGTCATGAGCCCTTAGTACCCTGATGACCCCTGATACCCTTCAGCATTAATACTGTCAGTATTTCTATTTCCAACAACAATGGGCCACACCAACATCTTGCATTCCTTTACTTAAAAAATCAGATGTTTACAGAATACTCAGTAACTGCACCATCTTTCTACCCCTAGAGTAGATGTGTAGCTGCATCTCACTGAAGCATCTCATGTTACATGGATTCTCCTCTTTAGGAATGTGTACGTGGGAAAACAAGGCAGCTTCCTATTTTATCCTGTTTGCCGTAATCTTATATAGCTTGATGTTTTCCCTGACTTTCTGATCAAGCAACCTTAAAACCCTTGTGGGATTCTGGTTTCTTGGGAGACACTTCTACAAGCTGACTTACCGGGTTGGAGCATACTGTCCTATTGGATGGGCTGTGCATACATTTATTCACATGCACACGCACACACAAAGAAGCCTTATATTTAATGAGTACAGATTTTGTAAGTACAACTTGATTCTTCTCCTATCCTCCCTCTCCCATTCTCCACTAAGATTGATTTTCAATTAACTTTAGATACAGAAGACCACCTCTATACTAAGTAAAGATTTCCAACATATTGTGCCTACATTTCTAAAGGTCCAGTACAGACAGTGGTGTGCTGAAACTACCTGGAGTGTTTCCTAAATAAAGGCAGAGTACTCCTGCTTCTTTCTACATACTAGTTTTCTCAGACTTTAAAATCCATTCAAGTTGCTACTTAACTTTTGTTTTTAATTCCAGAGAGAATTTATCCAGTTCTGTAAGACTTTATACAGTATGTTCCATGAAGACCCGGAAGAAAACAATCTCTACCAAGCCATCGCCACGGTCACTACGCTGCTGCTGCAGATTGGGGAAGTGGGCCAGCGAAGCAGCAGCTCCGGGAGCTGCTCCCAGGAGAGTGGGGAGGAGCTGCGGGCCGGGGCCGCCTCTCCCGGGCAGGACTCCGTGTTTGCCGACATGGATGCCAGGAAGAACCCCCAGGACTCCAGGGCGTTTCCTGAGGCCTCAGAAGGGGACTGGACTGTCTCCCTTGAGCACATCTTAGCCTCACTTCTGACAGAACAGTCACTGGTGAACTTTTTTGAAAAGCCATTGGACATTAAATCCAAACTTGAAAATGCCAAGATCAATCAGTACAGTCTGAAAGCTTTTGAAATGAGCCACCAATCACAGCCTGAATTCAAGCTGAGTAACCTGTAGCAAGACAGTTCCTTCATGGAGTACACTGGAGCCTGCTGTACCAAAGCCTAGACCACAGCCCGGCCCTTGGGTTGTCAGTGCGGAAACACACTGTCCCACGGGCTGGGTGTGGACAAGCAGCCTGACAACTGTCAGCTTCCTGGACGCTGTGACTCCGTTCCCTGACAGCAGAGTGGCTGAAATGGGCACTTCTCCTGGTTACCAGTGTGACTTTATTCTGATGGAACCCAGGAGTCAGACTAGTCCCAGCAACCAAGACGGAAAACCCCAGGCTCTCGTTTTTCATTTAAGAGATTGGGAGGTCCAGAATGAGATTCACTTTTAAGATGAGAGCCACTTATCTGTGCAATTGTATTTGGCTTTTTTGCACTAATTTTGTTTCAATGCTGGTAATTGAAACCATTTTAATATATTTGGTTGTTATCACTTTGTATGTCCTTCAAAAAATGTACGAACCATGCTTTCCATGTTGGCCTCCAAGTTTTTTAATAAGAATTTTTTTTTGTATTGATGGTCTTTCAACCTCTTGCTTACTGTCTTAAGGTGTGGACTATGCCACTGAATGGGCAAGCTGGAGACAGAATCCAGGTAGGTGTGCACCATCACCATTAAAACCTTCAAAATGGGACCTCTTCAGAGCAGCAGGTCCTATCAGTGGTGTTCTGCACTGCTGCAGTACAATTCCTGCGACATCCTGATTAAATGCTGAATCGATCTGATTTTTATAATCTTAACCTAGACCTCTACAGCTCAGCTCCATGGGTAAGACATTTTTAACCAACTCATTGTTACTACAAAGTGCTAAAATATGACCTGTCTGTTAAGTATAACCTGGTTAACCCAGTCACCTGAGAAGGCAAGTATACTTCATTCAGCCCTAGGCAGATCGAAGATCATACTGCTGTTTATCACACCAAATCTAAGGTTCTATCGATTATACTATAGCTTATTAAAATGTGAAGAGGCTAATGGCAATTGAAAATGTCTTCCAGAAAAAAAACCCTTAGACGGAATCATTCTTTCCACCCCAATCCTGCTAGATCCTCCCTGTCGGGGATGGGAAGGGATCCCGTAATCAGGGACTGCTGCAGGGAGGACACACACGCACATTACGTTAGCAGCTAGAAAAGGAACACCAGGGCACGAAGGCAGCTTTACAACTTTAATCAGTTCTCATCCACATTGACTGTCTGTAGATCTGGGGAGGAAAAAACAGGGACAGCCAGTCAACATGTGACACTCAAAACCATTTTCCGTGATTTTACTAGACCAGCTTTGCATTCATCATTTTCCCATACCAGCATTAAAGAAAGGAATGACTAATGCCTGTGTCCCTACCGGAAAGTTACCAGGCATTACAGGTGCACAGTAGGTATCTGAATAGCTGTGCTAACTAAAAGAGCTAAACACTTCTTGTCCTACAAACAGCTTTTGTGGGATGGAGTAAAACTTACTTTTGAAAGTGGTGACAGGTACGTAGGTAACCAAAGTGTAGAGCTTGTTTGGGGAATCTTCATCCTCATTACGTTTTCTGGACAACCTCACGCGGATGCGGTATGGGACATTCCTAGCAAAAAGACACAGCAGTACAGCCAGCGGCTAATATAAACAGCTGTATTCACACAGCCCATCCTTGCTTTCTGATGCTCTGTCCTTTGTTCAGGCCGACCAAGGGGCCACTTACCATTTCCCTGGAAAATAACCATACCCCCAGTGGATACAAAATGCTACCAGCACAAGACAGGCCTGTTGAGACAGGTTAAAGTAGCCACCATGGATAACCAACCAAGGAATCCTAAGCCCAAATGTGGGTCCAAATGGATTGGTAACTGCCTCCACCACTCACTTGGGGAATTTTCTGTTAAATAAATTTCATACTACATACACCCTGCCTCAAACTATTTCACTCAACCTCTCAGCAATGTGACTTGGCTGTGTGTCCTTTTACTACCAGTGTTACCTCAAAGAAGGCACTGGAGCGCTCTACTGGCTAGTCCCCTGCCACATTCCTAAGGGCCAGGTGGCTGGGTCTCGGGGCTCTCTTGATCTTCTCAGATGAACCAGCGAAGGCTGGACACCGGGATGCAGGCAGTGCAGAGGCTCCCTGTCTGCACATCACCACGGCTTTAGCCGTCTTCCCCAGCTGGTATCCTGTGATGTCCTCACAGCATAACCACCCCCTTGCTCCCATCACTTAAGTGCATGTTCTTCCCTGTCCCTCCTACTGCTGGGTTCTTCATCGGGGTCAATGTCACGCTCAAAAGCTTCCCTGCAAATACTACATCTTGAGTACTTTAGTTAATGCATGTGGTACTAAAAACAAATTATGTGGACTTGATAAGCTGGTGTCACTGAAACAGGTCAACTATAACATGTAACTTCAGTACCTTATTCCTTTGGCCCAGACGGCTTTGTTGAGCCTGGTGTCAATGCGCACATCTGGAGTTCCCATCTCTTTCATGGCAAACTTCCGGATCTCTTTGAGTGCCCGAGGGGCACGCTTCTTGAAGCCCCTGTTATGTTCAAAACATAAGTACATGAGTAACAGTATGTCTCATTTCAACAAACTAAACCTCAAACTAGGCAGAAAACATTCTTTTTTCCACCAGTGTTAATGTCCAGCAGCTGGACATTATTGTCTTAATACCTGAGACAAAGCTATTAAGTGTTCTAGATCAAAAACGCAATTTGATGGTGTCACATGTCTTTAAGAACTGATCCTCTAAAGAGCAGCATGTAAATTTCTTCTGAAAACACAGGAAGGCAGGGGCCGATGCTGTAGTGTAGATGGGTTAAGCTGCCATCTGCAGCAACAGCATCCTGTATGGGCTATGCTTTTTGTTCCAGCTGCTCCTCTTCTGATCCAGCTCCCTGCCAATGCACCTGGGAAAAAAGCAGAACATGGCCCAGAGGCTTGGGCCTCTGCATTCACATGGGAGACCCGGATGAGGCTCCTGGCTCAGCCATGCCTGCTGCAGCCATTTGGGAAGTGAACCAACAGATGGAAGATCTCTTTCCCTAAGTCTGACTTTCAAAAACAGTAAACTGTTTCTACATGCCAGGCAACGTCACGGGAACATGTTATGTCTGTTAACTTACGTACATCCAAAACCTTGATTCAGGTGATAGTAACTTTTTCAAGATAAGGAAAATCATTTAAATCTTATGGTTTTGGTTAAGACTATGAAATACTTCCTCAACTTTCTATGAATACCTAACCCATCTCTGAATCCAAGGTGCCAGAAAGAATAGCACAACAGACAATCCCCAGCGCTTTGCACTCAGCCTGTGACCCATCAGGCACACCAGATGGTCAGCAAGCAGAGAAACCAGGGGCTGGTGCTGTGCTGCGGTGCACTGCACCCCCACCCGCTGCGCCAGCAGCACCCTGCGAGCACTCCAGCTGCTTCACGTCTGATCCGGCTCCCTGCCAGTGAACCTGGGAAAGCAGTGAAGATGCCCCAAACACCCAAGCCCCTGCCACCCACCTGGGAGACCCTGATGGAGTTCCAAGCACCTGGCTTTGACCTGGCCCAGCCCAAGCTGTTGCAGCCATTTGGGGAATGAACCAGCAGATTTCCCTCTAATTCTCCCTTTCAAATACATAATTAAATAAATCTTGAAAACAGACAAACCAATGAAAAAGCATTTGAGAAGGGGAGCACCAGCTTCAGTCAAATGGCCAAGGTAACACTAGGCGCAGGCTCTGAAGGTAATGGAGGCAGCCATTAATTATCCATGAGAAAAGCTACAGGCGTGGGGGAAACAGCCGCTCTGAAACAGGTACCTGCATGGATTTGCACTTAACAGGCATCTGCCTTAGAGCAAATAGGCGGCCCAGCTCATATGGGATCGCAGTGAGCGACCTGAGAATAGACCATATTTGAGGAAGGGCCAGGGAACCAGGAAAAGGGAGCTGCTACTACCACCACTTCCATGAGAGAGCTGGGGGGAAAGGGATGACAAGACATCAGCACACCTGGATACCAGCAAAACACCACGTGGGGGGAGCCTCAGCCCCAGTGTTAGGTCCCCTCTAGTCCCTAACAGGAATGCCTGGGTTCAGTTCCCTGCTAGTGTAGACCCTGCGAGGCAGGATTCCTGGCTCAAGAAATTGAGTTTGGGCCACCCAATTCGGAGACCTAGACTAAGTTCCTGGCTCCCAGCTTTTGGCCCTGGCAGCATCTCAGAGTGAACCAGCAGATGAGAGCCCTTTCCCACTGCCTCAAATTAAAATAAAAATCAACAACAGGGCTGGTGCTGTGGCGTAGGCATTCCACATGGGTGCCAGTTTGAGTCCCAGCTCCTCCACCTCCGATCCATCTCCCTGCTGATGGCCTGAGAGGGCAGCAGAGAATGGCCCAAGTGCGTGGGCCCCTGCACCTGCATGGGAAGACAACAGAAGAAGCTCCTGGCTCCAGATGGGCCCAGCTCTGGCCACTGCGGCCATTCGGGGAGGGAACTGGCAGATGGAAGACCTATCTGTGTCTCCTTTTGTCTGCAACTCAGCCTTTCAAATAACACCAACACTTAAAAAAGATATCAAATGCCAGTTGGTAGCTGAAGCCCAGGAGTGGTTGCTAACACCAAGTACAGCCAGAAAAGTAAGGGACCCAGTCCTAGAGTACAACAGAGGGATACGAGACTGAGGAACAGCAAGTGCAGTGGGAAGACAAACACGACTGCAGGATCTCAGGGAAGCAAACAAGAAAAAAAAAAAGCCGTTTTTTTGGTGAAGCAATTGACTGTCAGTTGCTGCTGACAAGGTGAGGGACAAGGACCAACAAAGTACCAAGTGCCTGAAAATCTCATCCACCCCTTCTCTCACCCTCCGCTGTCTAGTTGGCATTTTTTAACTTCTAGGATACACCCCTGTCTGCCTGCTCCCATCCTCAGCAGCCAGGGAAGGCAGCGTCTGTGGCTCTGCCGAATCTGCAGAGCTCAGGACGGTGCCTGATATGCCCCAAATGGGAAGGCGAAGAGGGGGTTACTCACGAGCAACTTCACACCCCCGCCCTCATAGCCAACCCAGAGACCATAAATAAGACGGTGTGCACGGTGCCCCTCGGCTGACAGGGCTGACGCTTGGCCGGGACGCCGGCCAGGCCCACCTCCGGTGAATGCTGCCACACGCTTAAATCCCCGGCAAAATCACTCGCCCTGGGATTAAAGCTCGCTCAGTCAAGTCCAAGAAAATTCTGTCCAGACTGCCGCCTTAAACTACTTCACTGCTAAGACGCTGCCGCTACAACACAGAGTAGCAGTGTGCAGAGAGCTGGTCTCAGCAGCGGCGGCCAGGAACCTACCACTACACCCCAGAGAAACAGGGACCGGCACACAGCCATCGTCCCTCTGCCTGGACTTCCGGAACCCAAACGCCCACTGCCTGCTCCCACGTCCTCGTCTGTATCCCAGCACTCTCACCCCCGCGCGGGTCATTGAACCAGAAACGGGAATCCCACGGAAGGGTGCACCTCCCGCCGCAGAGGGGTGCATTTCCCGAGAACCAGAAGCCTTGCAGGTGGCTGTCCCCGCCCGGCTCCATGCGAACACCAAAGCACTAGCCGCAACAGTGTTCTCATTTCCGTCCCCATCAAGTTGCCCCAAACCGACTCCTCCCAACACTCGGGTCACTCCACCGCACGGCTCCCCTCACCGACCTCGCAGCGCTACCCCTGCAACGCCGCGGCGCCCACCCAGCACGGATTCCGATCCAGACCCCCTTCCCTGCGAGACCACCCGGCGGGGCTACTCACACGCCATGGATGCGCTTGTGAATGTTGATGGTGTACTCGCGGGTCACCACCTCGTTGATGGCAGAACGACCCTTCTTCTTCTCGCCGCCCTTCTTCGCGGGAGCCATCTAAACGGAGGCCACAAGGAGCTCGGACAAGCCCAGGGCAAAGCCACCCTCCCGGGATCGGCCCCTGCAGCCCAGGCAAGGCCACGCGGGCCATTCTGCGACGAGTACACCCGCGCCCCGCATAGGCTCCCGACCCGGAAACCCGGAGGGTCTCAGGTTCCCTAACTCCAGCCACTCGCCCTCCCCGTCGCCGGGGAACCCTTAAAACTCAGCGCGGATTCTCATCTTTCCGGAACGCGGAGCCCACCGCAGGGTCAGGAAGGACCCTACCGTCCCGGTCAGCACAATCCCCGGGAAGGATGGACCCAGATTCTCAAGCTGGGAGACAGCCACCCATACTCACCTTGGAGGGCCCAAGCTGGAAAGGAAGAGCGCGAGGGATTGTGGGAGAGAGAAAGCCCCGGCTGCAAGTACAACTTCCGGGTCGCCCGGCGGCTGGAGGAGGGGCCCGAGTAGAGAAAGGGCGGAGGCGCAGAGAGGTGACGTCAAGGGAGCGCGCCAAGGGGAGGGGCGAGCTGCTCCTCTTCTCGGTTGGGGAGCATGGAGGGAATTTGCGTCCGCTGTCTGAGTCTTCCGAGGGCGTTCAAACCCGGGCCTGCAGCGGGGTGGGAGCAGGGCCAGGGGGCGAAGAGGCTCTTGTGTTTCTCTCACTCACTCATTCATTGCTGCTGGCCTCAGAAACCCAGGGTCTTTGAAATGAGAACCTGCAGTTCGTAAATGACTTTATGTGAAATGCCAGCTTAGGAGAGAGTGGCAAACAATCGCATTAGAAAAGCAGCGTGCTGTGCAGTATATGTCACACTGGATAAATCAACGCGCATGACTTCACACGAAGCGCGGTGACAAGACGCGTGAGGACGGGCTAGGTTCTGGCAGACGTGTTGTTGGGCGCTTTGCCACTGTGTAAACACACAGCCCTAGCTGATGCAGGCTAGGACTAGGCTGTGTGGCATGCACCGTTGTAGCTGTGGTCTGTGGTTGCCTGGCACACGGGTACGCGGTGCCTGACTGTATGTTTCCAGCTCCAGAAAGGCCCAGTGACAGCAGCAGAAGCCGCACTTTACCCAGCACGGTCCTCATCCTCACTCTGGGCATCTGGATTTCAATCTCGACTGCTTTAAAAAAATTTTTTTTGGATTTTAATCTCTACTGCTTTACTTTTTTTTTTCTTCAAACTAAAAGAATCAGGTCTCCATGAAGGGTAGTTGGTTCCATGCTTTGGGGCAGACAAAAAAATAAAAAATAAAAATGGGCCCTGCTCCTGTAGTTTCTAAGAGAAAATCTGAAAGCTGGTTTCTTCCAGGCAGTGTTCAAGGAGCCAAACAAAAGAGCAAACTCCGAAGTGCAGATTTGAGAATAAAATAACAATGGTTAATTAGGCAAGCTTCCTTTAGAGAAGTTCATGCTTAAAATAAAACATGAGATATTAAAAAAGGGAATTGTAGCTTACAAAGGCGTCAGGGTCAAGGCTGTGTGACTGGGTGTGACATTCCTGTGAGTCCGTCTGAGAAGCCCCCATGGCCATTTCTCTGGAGGACCCAATGATGTTTTTCTGTGATACTGATGGCTGAGACCTGCAGGCTGCACCTATCCAGACTGAAGAGACAAACTGAAACCATTTTGTACCGCTCAGACTTCACCAGACAATTTACACAAGAACGCAAAGTATCATAGCTTAGAACTGTCTTACGAGTTGGCAGATTCGCTCTGTTGAAACAGAAAAGTTAAGCTCAATTTAAGGAATCTGAGTTGTGGTTAGAGGCAGAAGATAACGTTTTAATTGTTTACAATAGCTGGCACTCAGCAGGCTCCGACTTCACATTCAGTCCCTTCTCATGAGCCAAGACTTCATAGTTTTCCAAACCGAAAGGTCATGGTTTTTCTGCAAATAGGACAGAGCTGCAAAAGAGCTTTTTAATGAGCAGAATTTAATGAATCAAAAGCTGCAGGATTAAACTTCCCATGTATGTGGGCTGAGAGAACTATTACACAAATGCTAAACATGTGTAAGACTTGAGCAAAGCTAAATTAAATTAGCAGCATGGCATACTCCACCCTTGCTTAATGGCTTTCATCTAGAAAATTCTAGGACAACAAAAATGCTGGGTTCATTAAAAAATCTCGTTTCACCTAGAAGGATTCTGACAGTCCAATAAAATGCAAATTCTTTTACAGAAAAATCAGCTCTCTAAACCTTTCAGTTTATAAAGTGAAGCTAAAACATAATCCATTACACATAGCTTATTTTTTTTTTTTTTTGACAGGCAGAGTTAGAGAGAGACAGAGAGAAAGGTCTTCCTTTGCCATTGGTTCACCCCCAAAATGGCCACCACGGCCGGCGGGCTGCGCTGATCCGAAGCCAGGAGCCAGGTGCTTCTCCTGGTCTCCCATGCAGCTGCAGGGCCCAAGCACCTGGGCTATCCTCCACTGCCCTCCCGGGCCACAGCAGAGAGCTGGCCTGGAAGAGGGGCAACCAGGACAGAACCCAGCGCCCTAACCAGAACTAGAACCTGGGGTGCCAGCGCCGCAGGCTGAGGATTAGTCTAGTGAGACGCCGCGCCGGCCATAGCTTTTCTTTTTTACAAGGGGGCTCTTTTCTGGTTCGTTAAAAATATTCCTAGTTTACACAAAATACTTTGACTTACCCCCCCCCCTTTTTTTTTGCAGGAACAGTGCAACTACACAAGCAGTAGAACTCCCTTCAGATGCAATTATGTAGTATCTTTTTACGCCATCTCACTCTGATCATAGTCAGTGGAGTAAGGAGCTGTTTTACAAGAGGCATAGAGCTATGGTGACAGAGCAATGGATACGGTACTGGGCAGCTCTGAGACCACAGTATTTGGAAAGAGGTTATCAAACACAGTGGGCCAGGGCATGCTCCTGTCAGCATGGCAAAACTGCACTGGGGCCAGGATGGCAGTGGTTAGCTGACACCTCCCAGGTGCTGCTGGTGCGACCCCCCATCACCATGGCAGATACTTTTATACACGCAGCCCACCCACATCGCTGACACCTAAGTGTTGGCAGCGAGGGCTCCTGAGATTCCAGTCCCAGTGAGTTTCATTGTGGGCTATGAATGAAGACTTTGGTGGAGAACATTTGCTTTCTCCAGACTACCTGTGCCAGCAAGGTGGAGACGTTCCGAGGAACTTTGTCTTGTGGTTGTCTATTTTGCTGTCATTCTACGGTAAACCATTGTTTTTTCTGGCACAAGCTTTCATGTTGAAGATTGGGAACTTGATGCCCACGTTGTAATTCAAAAACCTAACGCCATCACTCAGCTTACTGTTTACTTCCTTTCCCTTTGCTGTTTCTGATTGTCCTTGGTTGTGGCTGAGCATGAAAATTTGCTGAAATTCTCATGTATGTATTTGAGTCTAATAAACATTTCAAAATCAAAGATTTCAAGAATCTTTGGATGCCTTGAAAATGTTGAAAAGTCTTGAAACTGGAAAAAAAAAGTTTACCAGTAAAAGGATGTATATGCATGGATGTATAACAAGGGACAGAAAGAGTTATACAAATGTGTTAATTTATTACAAAAATGTCCACTCACAGAAAAACACAAGAAAACTTTTATACTTTTTATATATTTGGGAAAGGAACTGGTGTCTCAGTACAAAATAATTTACACATAATCCATACAATTTTATTTTATATAGAAATAGGTCATTATTACAACAGCTGTACAATTCACTACACTTTGTCTTATAATTACATAAAATCTTTTCTTTAGAAACATCTCAACATAACAAAACATACAAAAAAAGCAAAGTGCATTTGGAAAAGGGAAATCCAATCCTCGGTATTATCATGAAAGACGTAGAAAGATGCAGCATTCTCACGCGGAGGGCCACCTGTGTGGGGGTGCCCTCGGGGACTGGAGCCCCCCAGGCCTGCCTGGCTTCTGAAACCTCTCCCCTCTTAGTCTTGGGGTCCTCAATAGAGTTTTGTGCTTTGCTTTAAGTCCACCTCTGCAGTTGCAATCAACAGGGTAAACAGGATATAGTCCAGTGTTACATCTGGGGTGGGGGTGGGGGTGGGGGGCAGGAATTACCACCAGTCGGGCAGGGGATGAAGAACCTCAGTCCGTTAGGGTTGAGGCCAGAGGGTATGTATCTGCAGCTTGGTTAAAACCAGCTTGGCTATCTGATTGGGGAGCTGTTTCTGTTACTGAGGCCTCCAAGTGAAAGTCAGGAGACCTTATTATTTTTAAAAACCCGAAAGTGCCTAAGTTATTTTCTCTGTGCAGCTGTGCAAATTAAACCAAAAATAACCATTTAGAAATAATGAAAAATAATATCTTTATTTTCTCTCTTTCTCTCTCTCCGATAGATCTATAACTCAGTCCTTCTTGAATGCAAAGGAAAGATATCTAGAGAGCGAAGGCCAGTGAGCGCGAGTGGACGGGCTAGGGTGCCCTGGGGCCACCGTGCACTCTGGGGGATGCAGCAGGTGTACTCTCTCCCCAAAGGTGAACTGAGCAGCGGTGCCTCCAAGGGGCCATGGAGCCCATTCCGTATGGCTGTAGAGCGTGCCCCAAGAGCTCGGAACCAAGGACAAGGCGGCTGGTATTCCTGGTCATTGCCCACCACGCCAGCAGTGCACCCTGGGAGATGCTTGCCACCTGGGAGCTCTGAAATGTATGCAGTGTGCACAGTGTCCCATGGCCGCCACCCCTCCCCACACCCCCTCGTCCATTGGTTAAAGCTGATTGCGTCCTGACGTCAGTCCCAGGGCACTACCGGGGCGGCTGCTGCAGGCCCGCTGACTCAGACAGGCTGCTGACCCTTCGGGGCGGTCGTGGGGGCTGGGGCTGCACGGCGGGTGGCGGGCCGTAGCTCAGGGTCCCCGGCTGTTGGGAGTAGGTGGAGAGAAGTAGCGAGTCCTGCTGCTCACTGTGCAAAGGAGTCGGCGCCTGTAGCAGGAAAGAAAAGCAAAACATGCTCCAGGGGTGCTTCTGAGAGTCCTCGGCCGCCCTTCTATCCACTGCCTTCAGGGCTCCTGTGCCCCGGAGGAATGTGGGGGCAGGGGTGCTCTGGATGCTGCCAGACGTGGCTTAGCAGCTCTGGAATGAAAGACTTTATCTTGATCCTGGTCCTCGAGATGTCTCAGCCACTGCACTCTGACTTATGGCTTTGCAGCTGTCAGGCCGAGCAGGTGGAGCTAAGGGTGCAGAGGGAGCCCTGCGGGACAGGTTGTGGGCTGGGCTAGAAGCGGGACCCAGGCACACATGTGACAGAAGCTGCAGCCCTCTGAGGACCTCAGCAGACACCTGGCTCCCAGCTGAACCCCCAGTGGCTCCCTCTCTCTTCTTCTGGTATTTTTGGCACTTGTTTGAATTAAGTTAGCCTTTTAGGCAGCAACCACAGGTCAAAGTACTTCAGAATTTCCTAGCAAGCCCCAGGCAGTCTGATGGATCTTGAACTAAATGTGATTTGACTATGTATTTGTAGAAGAC